AGAGAGAGAGAGAGAGAGAGAGAGAGAGAGAGAGAGAGAGGAGGGGAAGAGAGAAAGGGGGAGAGAGAGAGGGAGAGACGGAAGGAGGAAGAGAAAGAGAGAGAGTGAAGGAGAGAGATAGATAGAGAGAATGAGGGGAGTTAGAGCGGGAGTCGCTGTCCGTGGTTCTGAATGTTAGAGGGAGAGTCGCTGTCCGTGGTGCTGAATGTTAGAGAGAGAGGGAGAGTGAGGGAGGTTAGAGAGAGTCGCTGTCCGTGGTTCTGAATGTTTGAGAGAGAGTCGCTGTCCGTGGTGCTGAATGTTAGAGAGAGTCGCTGTCCGTGGTGCTGAATCTTCTCTGAAGTCTCCGGGCTGAACAACAGGCTCGTTGTTTGTCTCGCGCTGCTCTCTGAACTTATTCTGGAGGAGAGATTCTCCTGTGAGTCTCTGAGGGCTTTTAGACCCGGTCAGACTCTCTACTCAGATCTGCTGCTGGGAGTAAAGGATGAACGGGATGCGCAGAGAAATCTCACAGCGAGCACGCGCGTGACGCAACAGAGCGGAGGTTTTCGGGATCAGAGATACTGACCATGTGAAAAAGGGCTGACCAGAGCAGGGATGGTCTGCTTAAAGGGGATTTGGTGTCTAAAGAATGATGGATGTGAACAAATATCTCTATGATTTACACTATAATCATCACTGATTATGTTTAGTTCACACAGAAAGTGTCAAAAATAGTCAAAAGCTTTGTGAAAATACCACAAAATAAATGAAGGGTTGCACGTTGACTTAACCCTGTAATGCCAAATGTTTCATATCTGATACGGTTTCTGAAATGTTTTGCGTCTGACACCTTTTGCATAATTTAATGGTAAAAACTTTGCTCTAAATCCTATTGAACACAATCAGATACACCTGATAACAGGGGGCAGAAGACTACACAAAAATAATCTGGACCTATCGCATGGTAATAAGTTATTATTATAAAAAATGTATTCCAGTTTTTTCTTTTTACATATTTTGTTAAAAGGCCAAATAAGGAAGTCAAACAAAAAAAAGTAATTTTCTGTTTTGTTTTATTCTCGGATCGGGCTTTAAAGGATTAAAAGTCTCAATTATGGGAAAAGATCCAAAATTGATCGTTTAAATTTGTCATGAATTGGGATGTTAGATGACATGTCCTTTGGAATTATATCGGTAATTAAAATTGTACATTCTTTTAAGATTTAAACTGAAGTAAATGTGGTGAAAGAGGAACATTAATAAACATTGTGCATCAAACAATCATCCTCAGCCAGTTTGTGTTTTCACTCCCATCAAAACGTGAACTGAACTGTTCACTAACAGAGGCCTGAATAATACCCCTGA